CTTACTGTGGTTTATTTTGAGTATTGATATAAGAAGTACCAAATCGGACTATTTGCAAGTTAAGATTGTAAGAATAAATAGTTATGTTCTTAGGGTGTATAATTCTGTTAAGTCATCAGATGTAGTTTAAATCTTACTATTTAGGTTCTATTAATCTTCAAACTATTCACCTCCAATCTTAATTGATTTATCATAGTCATAATTATGATAGTGTAATGGTACAGTGAAATTTATTATTACAAGATTAATTAGCATAAATATTTACTTCTGAAGTGACATACATATTTGTATTGTAGTCGTAACTAGTCTAGTTCTATGCTCAGTTCTTTCACAACGTTACTGTTATTTTCAGACTTAAGCTTGAAAAGAGTTTTAAAAAGATCAAATAATTTGCCTAATATTAATTTCTGTGGATTTTTTGAACAGAAATGATTACAAACTTTTCTTTCAATCCAGAATAGTTTTATTTTTTGTTATGTTAAAGAATACATATTACGGGACGTTGTATTTTTATGAACTATCAAATATCATTACAATTTATCAAATTGATCTTGATCATTTTGATTTGCATAGATGTTCTTGGAGTTTCTCAAAAGATGTATAAAACCATAAAACCTATGCTAGTGTTAGTAGATAACTCATTGTCATAATTGTCAATATAGGTGTGTGCAAATATGTGGATTCTCAAAAGTTTATATATATATATATAGAGAGAGAGAGAGAGAGAGTTGAAAGCAGTTGTGAATATATAGTTGGCCCATTACATAAAATTACATGAAATTTGCGGTAACCGAGGAAGAAAAATCCGGACAGTCTTTAACAGTATGTTGCCACCCAGCAAGACAAGTAAACTTACGAACGAGTATAGGATGGTCACTCGCAGCTTCTAGGTAGGCGAAAGGGTACTTGTCAGATATCAAGGTAATATAGAGCGGGAACCAGGTGTTACAGAGCGTAGGATTGGAAATGTACTGTACTTAGTTCGAAGAAATGTCGGGGTGTGTATATGACAAATCAAATTCAAAGGGATGGTAGAACATTGACCACACAAAGCTGACTCCCGTTTCAAATGCTCGTGGATTCATCTTAAAAAAGCCCAAAGGGGAGAACGAATGTAGAAGACAAAAAACGAAAGGACAAAGCGGCATAACCTTCAAAAATGATGGACAGCAAGAGGAATGCGGTAACCAAGTTTCAGGTTGACCCGAGGAAAACGTTTTATACAAAAGACTTTAAAGAGGAGAGGTGTGTGAACGGCCCACGGGTTAACTCGGGGAAGTTCTAAGAAGCTCAGAAAGAGCCGAAGATACTTCGTTAATTATCTTTGGAAGGACATTCTAGAATATCTACGTGTAGCTTCCCTATTGGACAAATGCTAAAAACCGCTGTACGCGGATCGGATGACTATGATGATGATTTCGTTTTTACGAAAAATTAAATACCTGAAAGTTTTGTACCATATTTGACACTGTTTTGGAACAGCGTTCCTTCTCACTCATCTTCTGTTTTCTCCTTTGCGACTTGGGGGGTTCTAGCGTACGAGTGCTCAAGTTGTAAGCGGTAATATCAAAGAATCTAAGTTCTAGATATAACAGAATTGAAGGCTGTTTGAATATTTTATCCTTTGTATTCCTTGTTACTGTCAACCTTAAGATTTGTTTTTTATGCAAGTGTGAAATAACTCTAAACTCAGTAAAAAATTTTGTTCATCATCTGGTTGAAACATAGAATTGTTAGTAGGTTGATTAGTGATTTGTAGTTTCATCACGTTACGAAATGTTTGTGTAACAAACTTAAACTGCTAGTCTGAAACTCATTAAAACTACAGGTGACACCATTATTAGCGACCCTGAGTGATTCTAAAAGTGACCTTAAAAGTTTTCAACAATTTATCAGTTTCAAGACGGGTTTGGGAATTGGGATTAGTGGTTGGAATGAGAAATTAAGGTGAAAGTTTTCATCATGAAACAATATGAGCTACAGTACAAGAATCCTTTGTAGCGACATGAAAGAATGAAGTTCGCACAAAAACTCAAACGACCCTATCCTAAATTTGATTGATTCATCCATATAATACCATCAAACTAAAAATTAACCATCATAGGGATTTACTGGGATTTCAGTTCCACAACGTAGTGATCACAGTTAAACAACTAATGACAACCAGGAAGCACTATACAGTTGTTTCGTCCAAGTATGGAATACCGTGAGGTATTTATCCATTTAGCACATCCGAAGATGGTTGTGCGATATTACTAATTGGTTGGAATACATAAACCGTTGAGTGTTGTAGGTATCATTACCAAGGTTTGACTTGATAATTTCAAATAAATTGAGCACTGGGTAGATTGTTATAAATAAACCTGGGTCAATTTTCACTTGGTTATTTATCCTCTGAAAACGTGTCCTACACTGAATCACAAAACGTCAGAAAGTCGAATTTTTCTACTCAGTGAGTGTTGGCTTAATGGTCTAAATGTTAAGTCTTCACGTGAGACCGAGGGTCTTAGGTTCGATCCGTGGTGGCGATGTCATGGATGTGCACTGCTGAGAAGTTCCAAAATAGGATAGAGCAGCTATCCAGTATCCATGGTTTTCATTGGTTGTTTAACCCAGAATATCCCGTAATGTTAATTAATGGCTTATACTAATTAGCACCCATATTTTTTAGTTTTTTAGTCTGTACCCCAATGGTAAAAATATTCGATGTTGAAGTAATAGGTTGGTTCCCTTTTTTGGCTTAGACAACGGTCCAATATCCTGGTACAAAAAGATATGTCCAAAAGCCAAATGTGATGATCTATACTGAGTCACCAAGTAGCAAGGACATTTTGTCATCGTGATATAAGATTATCCCAGCTATCCTTTTTAATGCTTATAAAAATGATATACAAGACTTCGTTAGTGATTTGCATGAAATCGTAATTTATTAATCAAACTAACTTCAGTCCTGAATGTTTATTAGTGACTCTACAATAAATTATCTAAGCATTTCAACTGAAATTAGAACATATCAGACCATGATACTTAACAACACCCATTCAGATCATGCAGTTAATATAATTTCCCCGGAGAATTCCAGTTATAACAAACTGAGAAATGTCAACTAGCATAGAATATCGTTTGAAGGATTCCAACCGATTTCTATCAGCTACCCCAATAGGTTACTATCACTAGTATATAAAACATAAACGTGAACATTTTATTTTTAAAAAATTTTATATCCCAACAAATAAATACAATGGTTCTCGTATCATTATTATCAGTAAAATAATTTCGGGTATATTGGATAGAAATGAAAAAAAAACTCCCCTGGCTTTTATCAAAATCTTGATAATTGATTAACCCTAATTGTTTTCCATTTTTTTCAACATTTTGATCATTCACTCTTATTTGTTTGATGTGTTTGCCTGTATATTTATACATATGAAAAGAGATTTATAAATCGGTAACGATTTGACCTTTATAGATTGACCTAAAGATAAAAATTGGAAAAAAAAGAAACTAATTCATGTTTTAAATGAATTTTAATTTTGCAATATCCCATTAATTAATAACATCAACTAAAGTTTTGGATTAGGATACATGAGACAGTGAAAAGAAAAAAAACACAACAAAAATTGACTAGCTAACAAAACGATGGACAATATGAAATAGATCATTTTAAAAGATAATCATTTGGCGTTAACCTTAAAACAAAGTGAATTTTTTTAGAAAAAAAATGTTCCGTATAATTTTATCTTACGTTAAGAGACTAATAGTTAGGCGCTTGTGCACGGAACTAATGGGTCCTGGATTCGAATCTCGAGAGGCGGGATTGTGGAGGCGTACTACTGAGAAGTCCCACAATAGGACGAAACGGCTGTCTAGTGCTTCTAGAATTTCCATGGTGGTCTAGCTTCAATTGATTCATGATCTCAACTATTAAAATTACTATAATATCCACAAAATCCTTTTTGATATTATTCAACATATGCTCATTAGTGACTAGCTTCAAGGTGTATATCCTGGAGTTCTAGTGAGAATTAGTGACCAGTGGAGTTCAACTGGATCTGTTGTGAGATAGTAACTCATTGATGACAATAGTGGATGTGTCGCTCAATTTCGTGGATTAGTTGAAGTTTGACATTAACACCACTGGATGCTGACCAGCTCAGTGATCTAGTGGTTAGGCGCTCGCGCACGAGACTGATAGGTCGTGGGTTCGAATTTCACGGGGTGAGCTCGTGGATGCGCACTGCTAAGGAGTTCCATACGAGGACGAAATGGCCGTCCAGTGCTTCCAGATTTTCCATGGTAGTCTAGCTTCAATTGACTCATGATCTCAACTATTAAAATTTAATTTAAATTGTAAAAATTAATTATCGTTAGAATTGTTAAGTTACATTTATTCTGTAATTTCTGAAAGTGAATATTAGTGGTTAAAATATTTTATTTTCAATTGTAGTGTTTCGTGATTAATGTATACATTAATTTCGTTTATTTTACTAGTCAGTTATTATCTTTAACCATTAAACATTAGATATATCTTTAAAATGAGCGAGACACACTGGTATTTGGTAATCCAATTACTATAGGTGTATAATGATGACTATTTCTAATTAAAGATCAATTAATACTTTAATAGTATTGAGTTTTTGAAGATATTTTTGATAGATTATGCAACTCAGTCTATAGTACTTTGATCCTATTCCTACACCATGTGTACAAATAACTTTAAAGGAAATATATAGTTAGAAAGGTAATGGGACAGTGTGTCATTTCACATATAATATTTACGTCACATCCTCTTGTATTTACTGAGTTATTACTGGTAATCATATATAAAGAAAACCCATAGATATTTTATTAATCGCCTAATTGTTATTTGATTACATTAAATTAGTAGATTAAAGATGTGCAAAGATAATGGTTGATGGTGATAATGATATATTTACAGCTTCTAACATTAAGTATTTTGTCAAGGAATAATTGTTTGTCTTTTTTTAATTTCATTACAGGAACAACTCCATGGGATACAGGATCTATTTTAAATAATGATGAAATAACAATGAAAAGAAATGATTTAGAATTAATCACGTCACATCAAATTGATTCTACTAATCTGCCACCAGTTAGTAATTCTACTAATAATAACAATAATAATAATAGTAATAACATTTCAAATACTACTTGCAAAATGAATACATTATCTTATATACCACCAGGATTAATATCTGTTATGAATGAATCTAAGTGTTTGACAGTATGTGCTATTGGACATTTTTCAGTCGGTCATACATGGGGACCTTATCTTATTCACATTGGTTCAGAACTTCGACAAAAGCTTATAGCTTTCTCAACAGAAGTTGATCCTGATTTTTTAGTTACATTAACTGTAAAGGTAAATCGAATACTTATCTATATTTATCTTTTTTTCAAATTCATTTGTGAAACTTACCACTAAGGGTAAATATACTGATTAGTAACTGAATGAACATTTAATGCTTTCCTGTCAGTCTATTTATCTGACTTTTAGACGTCTTGAGAATAAACAGTCCATGTCACTGTATGATCATGTGTAAACAGTGTTATTAATGAATTTCCTATACAGTTGATCATATAGTTATATTTTCATCAGTAAAAACAACCTGGATAATTTATACTGACAACATGTAAAGGTGCAGTTTAGTTGGTTATTTTATTTAGATTTGGTATGAATAACCGATGATATGTAAAAATAGTAAGTTACGTAATTTCCAAAATATACTGATCAATACTGGTAACAACTATGGTGTAGAACAAAAACAGTATTTTCGTAAAATATACTTTCCTAATGAGCTGTATTCATTAATGCTTTTGTAAATTTAAAAGACTAAAATAGTATGCCGCAAATGGTGACAAAAATACGTTACAGATTAATAACTTACATGGTGATTAAAAGATGACGTGAAATTTTATTTGTAGTCCGTGTTATCTTCTCTGAACAACTATGTAGCATCATTTTGTGATAATGTACCGAAATTTTTACCACTTCGGAAATTATTTACACGTATCCTAGTATTGTACATCATCTGGTTTGATTCGTAATGACCAAGTAACGTCTTATAAGTTATTCGATCAATGTGCTAACTTTACAGAGAAAAAAAGTATGATCATTGATTATTTTATTCCTTTCTCTTCGATTTTCAGACTATGAATTCTTAATGAGTTGATACCGATAATGTGTGAGTAGCGTTTAATATTGGACTGCGCAAGCAAATTTAAGGTTTCATTGAGTCATAGGCTCCCTAGTTAATACGAAATCGTACATAAATAGTAAACCAAAAACTCCCCTATATAATAAACTTAAAAGTAGTATTAAGTTTTAACTCATCCCGACGTACTTAGCTTCAGGCCACAATTTAAATGTATGGGCTGCTGAAGCTACCTATCTTTTCAATCAAAGTAGTTGAAGCTTAAAATAAATCTAATAACTTGCTCTCCATGTCTTACTGAGCAGACATATAATACATCCAGGCATCTGTTTTAATGAAAATTAATGATGTTCTCTAGATCATTAAAATCTTCCTCAACTCGAAAGAATGCCAAAACGTGTGATTCATGAACTTCCTAACAGTGTAGTTCATTCTATTAAGGGCGCATCATTTCCATGTGCCTGTACCCTCTTGTTTATTTTCATGCATGGATTAAAGCCTATTGCCTTCCACTTCAAGAGCCCAAAATGTTATCTACTGGTGGTCTGCTTGAACATCTGGGTTACATGTTCTTGCCATTTAGATGTTTCAACAAGTTATCCGTTTTTAACACATCATAACATCTATTAACCGCATGACCTATATAGGCGCGTTTATGAAAAGCTCACGACATTTCTCTGCACACGTTACAAAAAGTACAACCAGAGACATCGTAGTGGCTGGCAATATACATTGAAACGAATGAATATTATTCTGAACTGCTAACATCTAACTGGCGATTATTCAATATTTATCGTCAGGATTGATAAAGAAACATGAGAAGGAAACTTATTGGAATACTTTTTGTTGAGTATTCTATGTTGTACCAAAAATATAGTATTAAATAAAGCCATCAATATTAATAATGGTAAGGGGCGGGTTCCAACCTTCATTACACAAATAAACTATAATTTCGCTTAATAAACCGAACAAAATTTGATGCATCTACTTTCATATACTGTAAAATATCACGATTGTGCCTAAAAAGATTTATATTTGCCAATATAATCTATTGAAATGCAGATAGTTTTACACCTTTCTATTCAAAGAAAGCATAATATATATGTGTTTACTACATTTTAAACTGTAGTTTAAATGTTTCTGTCAGGTCACGTATTTTTAATTATACGAATATGACTTAATTCTCAATGTTTTGATTTTAATTTTCAGAGCAAAGATTCTAGTCATGAAAATGCGAATAGTTTAATTGTTGGAGAAGAGCATACATGGATAAGAGTTATACACGAGACCGGTCTTCATTCTGATAAGAATGAACATAATTTGGATATTTTAGTTGATCGTAAGTATGAGAAATAAAACTCTGTACAGTATATTTAAAGCAATTAGTCCTTTTTCAGTTGTAGGTTGAAAATAGTCGTCACACCAATCTATTTGGTTGCCGTGGGGCTAATGAATTTCAATCTTATTACTAACCAAATAATCTGAACATATAATTCAACATAGGGCTTCAACATTGGTTACTACTGCTTAAACATCAATATTAATCTCCCCAATACATGATTCATTTAATTCTCATTCATCCCACCTTATTATGTCTTACTAATAATTTTTTACACAATATAGTCCTTCCACTAAACATTTGACCGAATTGTAATTGCACTATTATCTCTCTCACCTTGTCTGACCCATATTTATTCTGATCATGGATCTTAAATTTTCACATGACATATAAGCTGATTTATGTTGACATTCTATATGATTCATATCAACATTGACAGTTTTATTCTATTTTTTTGACAATCCTAAATTCATATGCTTTAAACGATGCACTTTGCCCTTAACCTGACCATTTTTCGAATCATTAATTTTGATATATAATTGTAGAACTTGAATTTATCGAAAAGAATATTCTTCGTTCAAATACTAGTCTTTTAAAGTGATTGCATCACTTACCAAAGAGTTTATCAAATCACATTAATGTGTGATAATGTACAGAGAAGGACTAATCGAATAATGAAGTTGGGGGTTCATAATAAATAGCGTTGTTATGTACCAAAATAAACCCAGAGAGCAATCAATAATTTCCCTCGATACTGAGACATGTCAATTAAACAGATCATAGTATTGATCTTCAGAAAAGCCTAATAATCGATTTTAGTCACTTTCATTTTCTAATAGATATGCACAGGTATATATGGCCATACTAATATTAACACTTAACCTAAAAACGATCCTCAGATGGAATGTAAAAAGGAGAAAATTTTTACTACCTAACTCTTACCCTTATTGTAAATGATCTTTATCATCTGGATTAGCATCCTTTTTAATTAATCTCAAGTTCGTTTTCTGAAAGCAGTATGATTCATAATTCCTCTAAAATTAGTATTATTTTATTAGCATTTCATTCACAGTATATTATTCAATCATGAATTCTGAATTTTCGACAGCATGTTTATACTTTTCATCATTATCACTAGATTTTATTAATGCAAATCATGTTGTATTGTTTGATCAGTTATTGTTTATATCTTTATCAAACTTCCTCTGTCATGTTCACTCCCTTGTTTGATAACATTTGTACATATGAATCGTTTAATCACAGCTTATCATCTGTTTTTAAACAAAAAAACATCAGTGAATTTTGAAGAAAAACAAGGCATAAAATTCAATGAATGTATACTTGTCATGATCTGATTCGTCTGTACGCACTATGTCATTATTTCAAAAAGAATTGATAATCCCGGCGACGACATTGATGATAATGACGATAAGATTATGCATAATTTTAATACTGACAGCTCGTGAATAAGAATGATTATGACAATGATAAATTAATCTGATAATGAATTGCACTTCATACTCAGTTCTTACGTTGTTTACATTTTATTGGACAATTTCTTTTTTTTAATGTTCTTATTTTTTCTTGTTCGTTTTTCACTGACAGCTATTTTGAAAACAATCACATTACAAACTAGATCAGATATTAATCCACAAGACTTCCTGATAGGTGTGGTACGTATTGTATCAGGTAAGCTTATCTAGGTAGTTAATGACTGCATATTTTATTATACCCTTCAATAATACTATTATTATCATTATTGTTATTGAGAAAACAATATCTTACTTACAAATCAATGCTATACTAGATTGATTAAATTACAAATATATACACATGCAAATCATACTACTGATAATATTTTTTTTCGACTGTTATGTTGTAGAATAGTAGTCTTATTAACTTGAAACTATGAACAGTATAAGCTGATGAATGGCAGATATAGATATATAGTGATGAGTTTTCAGTAATGCGATAATAAAGACTTATACAGTTTAAGTGAGATTACTATCTCCTAACTGAGAAGTATAATATCTCTAGAAAACGAACGACAGATTTAATAGATAAATCATTGATTGTGTCATTTTTAAGTTTTTTTCTCTCCCTCTTGTAAAGATAAGAATTATCTAACTTTCCAAATAAAAAAATATAAAAACCCTATAAATTGATTTTTTTTCAATGTAGATAAGCCCTGAAGGAGATGGTTAGTAGGTAATGGTATTGACTTTTTAATTCAGTGTGAGATAACTTGCTACATATATAATTATATAATCATTTAGTGACTAGTTATCGAGTGTTATTCGTGTTGTTCAAGAGGCCTATTATTACATAATGACTATGTATATATCGTCATATGCTGTGTTTATTCACACCAGTTCGGTATTGCGTAACAACATCACTGTAACCATTCTAAACATAGTTCCATGTTTATAAACACTAAACTCATTAACTTAATCAATAACCAAATGTGAAAATAAAATAAGGATTCTGTGGACATTTTTAGGACACTAGTATAACAATAATGTACAAACTATTAATAGATCAATGGATCGGAGATTTCCTATTTCTAAAAAAATTTGTAATACAAGTGCAGTAAATTGTTTTACAGTGTATATTAAAGTACTTGATTCCGAGTTACCTATTAGAAGATCTGAAAAGTGCTCATGTAATTTAGTTTAAACAGCTGTATAATATCAATTTGCCTCACGTAAAAGAGCGTAACCTGAAGCTATAATTGATAAGTAAATTAAATATTCTACTTCACCCAGTACTTACAAATTAAATTATTCGAAATGCTACAGGGAATATATTTATCCTCAAGGTTGTCGATTTAATTTCAACAACATTTTGTAGCAAACTGTATTATGTAAAAGGAAATTCTAAATGTCGTTTAGAAAACTCATTTTCCTGTAACTATGAATACCAATTATCCTTCTGTGTTATCAATCATCAGACAGATAACTGTTCGTTGGTTCTGTCAGTTACAATCAAATAAAGTCTACCAGATGATTACTCTGGTCAATAATTCTCTTCATATCAGCTTATTAAGTATGTTTTAGTTGTATGAAAAAGTAAACAGGTAGGCATAATGTTAATCTGATTAAAAGTGTCCGAAAACCATCCGTCCACATTTAAACACCGCATCGATTTTTGTACAAATGTTGTTTCCTATTTTATGGTACGATGTGGTTTGTTTGCTTGGTATATAAATAGAGTATGTCTGAAATACAACGATTCATAACTCCGAGGCTGTGACTTGTGTTCTTCACTCAACCTGGGCTAGGACGGACAGCGAAGCAGGGCCAATCAGGGAACTAGGTCGTCCGTACGTGTTTTCCGTGTCACTGTCACAGATCGCGATCGATAATAACGCTGCATATCAAAAACCTGCAGTCACACACACACGTTACAACAGATTTAATGTACAAAGTCCCGGTTTTTCACATTTTAATTACCAACTGGTTGTTTAAAAGAATTTAGATTTTAGTATTTACCCTGAACCGGGGTATCCTGTCGACTACCTCCAACCACCATCTAATCTCACATTAGTGCACACAGTGTCGAGTCACATAGACTGGTGGCCACATTGCATCATGGTCAATAGCATTCGATCTGCACTAATAAAGACTTGACACACATTACATTGGTCACCACCCAATGACCAATCAATTATGACTTTCTGTTACTATTCTATACCACTAAATGGATTTGACCTTACTGAAGTCAAAACATTTGCAAATTCGTGAAACTTTTTTTTCATTTTTCTCAATTAGATAGTCAGAAAGCAGAACAAATAACAATGTCAAGTGGTCATAATTCAACGTTATATAACAACACAAAGTCATCAACATCAACTTCTGTCTTAACGTCGTCTTCAAACAATTTACCTTCTACTGGACCTAGGCGCGATAAGAAGTGTACACACTGTGGAATATCATTTTCCAATCTGGATACTTTGAACGCACATATGGCACATTACTGCTCTCGAAGACCAGGATTAGTTTCATCGACTTCAGCTGGTGTTCAGCCATCAGTTTCTGTATCTGTCACACACTCTGACACTTCGACAAATAAAAGCACAAATAATAAATTCAACAGTAAGTAACTGTTTTACAAAATTATAATTTAGAAAAGTCTATGTCATCTCTCACACAAACTTAGTATTACAAAGATAATATATGAGAAGTTACTGATTAGTTAGGCGAAATCATACTACACTGACTCTTATCTTTCAACTTTTTCAATAATGATGTCATTTATATTTCCAGTTCAATTTCTAGATAAGTATTACATTTTCTCTGATCGTGTAAAGCTACTGGTTAGCACTTGAAAAAACCCATCAAATAAAACCTTACTATTTGGTCACATGGTTATTTATATTCTAAGGATGTAAGCTACACTTTCATATTATAACCTCTAATCGTATATACTGTTAATAAAAAAGGGGACAAATAAGGCCGTTAGAGTACAATAGGAACATGATGTATGTAAACTTTATGGTCAACCAAGTTTATAAAGATAAACCTTGAAAAATAAATGTTATTTATCTTTGACTATTTGATCACGCGGGTGGGTTCGTGGATGCACACCGCTGATGATTTTAATAATCCTGCTTCGTAGTAACAGTTTTTTGACAGTGCCTGATACTGAATGTTCAACTAATCAAAAATTATAGCACATAGTTATAACTTCACATAAGCTTATTTGGATATCAAAGTGAAATGTAAGTTATTATTCATTCCCCAAGGATTGTACTGTTTGTAAATAATTGAAAATTGTTACATTAGCTTCAACACTAAGAATCTAAATTCTACATTTATCCACTTTCCCCATACACTAGTTGTTTGAATCTATTTGTATAAGGCATAGACACATGATGCATTTAGGTTACTTCGTCCATATGTATACAAATGTATACATAATATGTTAACAGACAGAAAGCTTATCGACTTCATCTAGATAGATCTATTTAACGTCTTGCTTTGTACAACAAAGGATATTTCATTTAAAAATAATATAGCATCAGTAATGATAAACATATTCATAATAATAATGAGAGGCGTTTGCTATGACTTATGTGTATGTAAATAACAATACTTTAATACTAACATGTACAAACTAAACTGACTTAGTACAATGTTCAGATCTCATTATTTTTTTATTGCTGACACCACCCTGTTTCATTTTCCACTGTCTTTCTATCTCAGTTTCTCTCTCCTGCCAACCCAAAAATAATTTCTGTTGTGTTAATTCTCAATTCCGTGTAGACTCGCCTTCATTCTCTATTCGGTTGCTTATCTTTATGTTTATCTTCTTATGGCCTCATTTTTTTCACTTATCAGTTCCACTTATCTCTTGTTCTTCTGTCTTATCTTATCTTTTATTCACGTTTCTCAGATTGTTTGTTTAGATAAATCACTATCAGATAGCGATTTTTTACCATGAAGATGAATGTGCGTGTGTGGAAATGTTTTATATGCATCTATATGTATGTATGCACAACAGAACATGCACATAGTTAAATGCATATACAATCAGAGGCCGATGGCAGGAGATAAAACGAAAGCTAACAAGACGAGGCTAGTGAGAGACCTAATTGACGAGTGATTATAAGAGATAGATAGATAGATAAATAGATAGATGGATTAGTTATCATGCTAGTTTACTACACAAAATAAAGTTTTGTAAAAATTTAAGGGGCTCAATAAATGAGTGAAAAAGATAAACTATTAGGCTTTTGGCGTAGTTTTAGATTAAAACGAACAACCAAAACTGTTTACATCAGTAAATACAGGCAAATAGAATAGCATTTTCAGACACTAATTTGGTCTGTTGTTCTTTAGTTGATGATTTCTAATGATAAAACTCTGTAAAAAAACTCTTAATCATGTTAGAAGTGATTTTAATTTCAGTAAAAAAAGAGAAAGTTTCTCTCATGAAAACTGAACACACTGATTCATTAAACCATAAATTTTAAGAAAATGTTTTAGCTTGTAAAAGTATAATCTAAGACGATGCATATCAATTGTCTGTACATACTTCTTGGTGTTCATGTTCAATCGAAACTTGATAATTCTACCGATCACCCCGATACTGAAGGCTTACTAAATAAAACACCTTGTGATAACAGTTGAATAATAATTATCCTAATTCTTAACTAAGAAGGACTGACTTTCTTAACACCATACTGAGACTTACACTGTAAACTAAGTACGTATGCAGTTTAAGTCGATGAACGATAGCACTAAACTAAAAAAACAGGTAGTATCGGTTAGTTTGTAACACCTCAGTTGTAATACCCACTCATAAATCTACATGGAACTTAACACAATAGATTGAAACCTCATGACTGATGCGTTATTTTCCGACCCTTTAATCGCTAGAAAATGGTACTAATTTTCACCATAAGTTAAGTTGCGGGATCATTGTCTAGTACCATTAGCTTTATACATCCCATTTCAGATACAACATTATTTATAGTTCCTTATTGGTATCTCAAGAGTTTACGTTTGTATAAAGAACTTGAGTTTAAAATGCTGTTATTTATAACGAGTATAGATTATGACAGTTTTGCTGTTTTCCACAGTATTTTCGCAGATATTTTTTTTGATTTTCAAAGACAGTTTCTCCGCTTTCAGATTTGAGAATAGTTTGTAGAATAAGAATTTAGGTTTTCTGATCTCTCTCCGTTAAAGTTAGTTGAATAGATTTATTCTAAGTTCTGACAAGTCATGTTCAGTTAATCCTCTGATCTCTATAAATGTTATCATTGATCAGTTTATTTTAAGATGAATGAGATGAACTGACTTGGAAAGTCCCAGTCCTTCAGCCAAAAACTTTTTTTTACAAAAATTAGAATATATAACTTTAGGAATAGCTTAAAAACTGTACTAAATCCATACCCTTCATTTAAGACCTATGTTTGTGGTTATGAGATAATGGTAGAAATAAATACCACAATCAGTGTTGTTTATTTGGAAATTGATGCTTTAGTAAATAGTCTGTTTAGTTATCAGAAGAAAAAAGTCAGGTTAAAGCATACATATAGTTATTAAGAATCTAGATAAAATGCTCTTAGTACACAGCTACTTGGGTTATGTGACCAGCTACCATGGTTACTAGTAACATTGAATTGAGAGTGGGTAAACTGTTAGTTGTGCAACTTTAGTAATTAAGACGCTATGTGTTCGATGTTATGTCATAACTTTAGTGACAGTATGCTTGTAACTTATTTTTAGATCAACGACAAAATTCATCTCAATCTTTTGGAACTAATGCACTAGGTTCCAGTTTCTCTGTTAACTCAAGTACCTCAGTGTCTGCTGCCAAATATAGCACGACGGCAGAAAATAACTCCGAATCGAATCCAGTAAATATGCGTGATGAAAATTTACTTGATCCAATTCAAATGGGTAATTTAATTAATCCTACATTTTTAAATTTATTTGGAGTCGGTGATACTACATATCTTTCTCAAATGCTTCAAAACCCATTGGCTTACTTTATGCTTCCGATGATATCACGTCTTATTCCACCAAAAAGTCTCGATACTCAAAGAAATGAATCGAATTTGAATATTCCCTTATGCAATCAATCTGTTAACCATATCTTATCTCCGACAGCTATGAAACAACCGCCATCAACGTCCGACAAAATGAAAAGCAATCACTCATCTGAGTTTACAACAAAAATTGATTCATCTGACACTCACATAAGCCCTACTCAACTTAATACTTCAAGCATTCAACATAATAATGCTCATAATTTAGAGCACCAGGCACCAAGAGTTCTTTTTTGTCCAAACTGTCAACAGTTATATGCATCCCAGTATCTTTCTACATTTCCTCCTAATTCAAACAAATTAGAACATTTTATGATAAATCCCAGTGAAACGTCTTTGATGAATCAAAATATTGAAAGCGTAGGCAATATGTTAAGTAGCAACGATATGGTGTGGACTTTATCACAACTTTCGACTGTGGCTCATCGATTTGGACTAATACTTGCTGCACCGTTAGTAACGGCAAATGGTTTGCAGTACATTCCTGTTAATTTAAACTCTAAACTTTCAGAAAGACATAATTCAGAAAAATATCAAAACAATGAGAGCGTTAATGGTTTTAAAAATACTAATAATACTACTACTAATAATAGCAATTTCCAAACACTGAATAATAAAAGACAGTGCACTACACCAATTTCATCATGTGAATTTATTAATGATTCATTGAATTCTTCAAATAATAGTAACAATTCCTCAGTGACATTATCACCTTCAAGTTATTTAACTAATTCTACAAATTTCTTTGGTAATAAACAACCTGAAGCATCATTACCTCGATTAAATACTTCAAATGTATTGGATTTATCAGCGAATCCATCTAATCCTCAACTACTAAATTCCTTTAAATTGTACAATACAATAAATGAATTCAGAGATAGCCAGCAACAACAAAATTACTGTCAATCGCAATTATTTTCACAGAAGAAAAAAGAACATTTTGATATTATGAAAGATTCTAGCTCTTGTTCTAATGGAACTCTTAATCAGCCTAATAATTCATTACTAAAAGTCCCATGTCATACAGAAGACACTCGTAATGATTTTGGATCTTTATTAGATAATCAAACACCCATTGAGAATAATAATAATATGGACAAAAATTTACTTCACACATTTTCTCAAATGTTATCACAAGCAAATGGATTATCAACTAATTCACAAACAATACCATTTCCATTTAACGTCAACCAACTTTTATTTATGCTGTATGCTTCGTTAGCAACTAATTCAATGAATATTCAGTCATCGTTTAATCTAAATGCATTGATGACCGAACCCGTGTCAAGTAATGTCACTAATGTTATTCCACCTGACACAATATCACATTCAGTTAATCCACCGACTTCAAATAATGCCCCGAATTCTGTTGTTAAAACGATTACAGATAACTGCGATAACGGTACTAACAATCCTACTTTTACTAATAGTAATCATAGTAACATGTATAAAAAATTTTCTTCTTTACCGTCTATACCATTTTCCCCAATGTGTATCCATCCTTTAATTTCTTCATCATCTGACCAATTAATAAATACATCAAGTAACAATACATTACAAAACACATTCCCCATCCCGACAACATCGATCACCACTGTTTCTACCGGTGTAATCAACAACATACCAATAAATTCGAGTCAAAATTTCACTTGCACGTCTTCATCTGTGAGTAAATTAGAACCAAATTCAACTGGTGTTAACAATACCAGTGTTAATGATAGTAGTAATAATAGCAATTCATCAGTTTTAAATTTACTTCCAGCTCTTAAATTGTTAGGATCAATATTTCCTCAATTTTCAACGATAGAACAGAACCATCAACAACAACGTCAACAACACGAACCTCAAATACAACAGATAAATCTTGATTCATGCTCTAGTTCAAAACAGAGTAAGTTATCAACACGAGGAATAAATGCAGAACAACTTATTAGTCCAGCTACATCACCACAACCAACGGTTTTAAGACCTTATTTGTGCAAATTTTGCCGAACTCGTTTTCAGGCATTTAGTACTTTCCAGGTAACTATTGTAATTTGTTAATATATTATTAATTTATAAATATTGACATGATTAATCATTAGATATCTTAGAACAACTAGTTCTCACTTTAGTGATTTTATCAATCTCTAGCTTTTTTGTGGTCTACGTGTATGGAAAGACAACCAGTCTATGAATTCTTTATCTTAAGATCTATTAATATTCATACTTCTTGTAAAGCCATTTGTTATTCATTTTACCATGTAACTGCGAGATAGTTATCTCGGGTCTGTTTGTAATGAGGAGGAAACCGTCAATCATTTGGTTATGGCCAATAAAAAGAATAAACTGTCTACCTGAAAACATTATATGCTTTATCTGGCACAAGACCTTGATTCTATCATGTACCTGTTATCAGGCACAAAGGTACCTATCTACTAGTCTGTAATTGTCATATATATATAGTGCTTATGTTTATCACTCAAGCCTCTTTAAAGATAATCTAACTAGTAAAAGTAATGTAAATAAACTTAGAAGTAAATTTTTTATGACAAATTTATCTACGAATATTTTCCCCAAGCTTTTGTAACGTGAAATAAAAATGTATCGACATGAGTATGATTTCACAAACTATTTTGTTAGTAGCATTTAACTATAGACTTCTCTCCAGCAAAACAACTAAAATTCACTAACGGGCAACGTAGAATTTGGGATGCACATGTATGTGTCAAACAAAGTTGCCACAATTCACGGCAGCGCATCGAGAAGCGGATTTATTAGAATGGAAGAAAGAAGAAAGAAAACAACATCTGTCACAGTAGAAAAGCTAAGTATAAGAAAAATAGCTTGAGATAAGCGAATAAGATCAAAGAATGATAAGTCTGGAATAACACGACTTTAAATAAAGATAAGGAAGGGATGCAATCTCCGATCGATCTTGAACCATTTTACTTAACGTCTCCGATCATAAACTAAGATCGATCCATGTATTACAACCTGCAGGACAACGGCAACTGACGTTATTAAGTTTGTTTTATTTATTTATTTGAACACATAAATATTGTTACAAGAGAGCGCCAATAAATATGCGCCACACAAAACAATGAGAATTTAAAGAGCAGCAAAAAGAAAAAAGGGTAAGGAGCGAAAAATAAAAAAAGAGAACAATGACGAAGAGATTGGTGTAAGGTAGTGTAATAATAATAATGTTAATAATGGGGGAACGGAAAAGTAAAATCAGCAGAAATTTTTCAGTTAAGGAAGATACAGCCACTTTTTACAAAGAAAGTAAAAGAAGGTTACAGCAGGATCGCCACTGGCTTCTATTCTGAGCCATATCTGATAACGTCTCTAGCTACTGTGTTGCACCATCTCTCGGACTTCAGCCTGGAAGGACCAACACAGGCCAACCCATTGCAGCTTTCTTTCATACCACGACATCAAGTCATACACTGACCACCTCTCCGCTTCTTCCAACCAGTCCCAGAGTCGGCAAATAATGCACAACGTGGGATTCTCTGGGACGACATTCGGAGAACATGTCCAAGCCACCGAAGTCGGTGTTTCAAGATGGTGACACAGATTGCCTTATCCCTGTGCCCGAACACACGGTGCCGAACCTTTGTATTACTAACATGGTGTTGCCACTGGATGTCAGCAATCCTTCGGAGACAACAATGATCAAACACAGAAAGTCGTCTAACGTCCTCAACTCAGAGAGGTCAGGTTTCACAAGCATAGAGCAAAACTGCTTTCACCGACGCGTTGTAGATCCGACCTTTTACGGCCAGACTAACATCAGGAGGGTGCCAAAGATGGCCCAGATTGGCATAAGCCGCTCTGGCTTTCACTATACGTCCATTGATCTCATCACTCACACCCCCACCAGCACTTATACAGCTACCCAGATACACGAACTTCTCGACTACGTCTATCTGCTCACCATCCAGGGTGAGTACAGGATTGGAATCCTGCCAGTCTTGTAGAAGTACTTTGCACTTCGAAGGTGCAAAGCACATACCATATCTACGGACACTGATTGCCAACTGATTAAGAGGGAGGACGCCAGGTGGCACATCGGCAATGACTGTGCCGGAAGTTAGTGCTAGCCAGAAACAGGTTGTGGTCTGTGCACAGTTGCAGTAGACGGTCCCCGTTATCTGTCCTGCGACCAACAAGTCCCCATCGGCCACCTAAACGACTCTTTTCTGTGCCTAGACGCCCGACCTGAGCATTCAAGTCTCCGGCTAGTACTACAATATCTGTCGAACGCACTTTCTGGAGAAGAACAGATAACTGGTGGTAAAACTCATCCTTGATTGCATCCGGGCTGCAATCTGTCGGAGCATAGGCGGAGATGACGAAAAGACATCGTTTCTCACGCCGATTTCTTCTCACTTTGATGGGACTTTCTAATCTAACAGCACATAACCGACTGTTAATGGAGATCCAATCGACTAGTGCTGTCTCAGCTCTAGCACTTAGTGCGACACCAACGCCAGCAAGACCAGAGGAAGATGCCAGCCCTATTTATTATCCGACCTGCATAAGCGTGCGAATGTTGAAGGCAGCTAGTTTGAATGGTGCACGCTATTTCAGGAAAACTGCTTCAGTACTCATATTCGGTGGCAACATACAACATTTAGTCGGACAATGACTCGAGAACGTTTAGACACAGTCGAATTTCCACCATAGACGAGCCGCTGTAAGTCGAAAAAATAAGTATTAACAGAGTGGAAATAAAAGAGGGTGAATAATTATGAAGTAAATAATAATAATAATAATATATTAATAGTAATAATGATAATAATTTGAATCATTTGATTGTTAGTTGTAGCAAGAAAAGTAGTTTCCATAATTAAAGGCAGTTCATCATTTGTGTGTGGGCTGTGATACTGCTCGGGTGCCCAGACCGAAGCAGGTGGTTGGTTATCTTAGGGGGCCACACCCCGAGCCTTTGACCTAAAGGTATGACCCACAATGCAGTAGGGTATCGTAAGGAGATGCAGTCCCATGGTAGCCGGTGACCAACGATTGGTTCATACGCCATTTGTTCCCGCAGGATACTGGGGCCAATGTGCACCATTGGTTTGGGATCCGGTTAAAGCGCCGGACATTCGCTTTTCGTTTTCTCATTTTCGTAAACAACACCCCCTCCATGAGAAGGCAGTGAGTAGGACTTCCCTGGCAGAGGCTGTGTGGGCGTGGCCATGTGAGAGTATTTCGAGAAGGAGGGCGAACCCACCCCGCTCTCGGCCATACCAGGGCATTTGGGGTTAGTTTAATAGCCAGTTCGTCAACATTCCGTATTTCAGCTGTTGCTAACTTTTTCAAGCCTGCTGCTATGCCAGCCAACATATGGTATTATGCTGATCTGTGGTTGGTTAGTGCTTAGGACCTGATCAGTTTAGTTTATATTTCTATCTAAAACTCTATGCTCAACCCCAATATTTCAAATTTGTTGGTTCATCAAAGCATAAACAATGCTTGGAAAATATTTATAACTAACTTTAGCCCATATGTGCCATGCACCATCATAAACCATGTTCTCCAGCCATGAAGTAATAAAGATAGGTTTGTTGTACAGTATACTGATTATACAATTGACAGACGGATGTCTCATATGTACAAAATGTAGAACAATTTGGTAAAACTCAATGGAAGTTTTTTTAACTGCTCTGATATTTCATCATCTAGCAGAACTCTAGGCTTAATTAAATTTTGTCAAGTTTTGTAGTTAAATGTCTGATAATTAAACACTAAGCCATAATATCAGAATTAATATTCACATCTAGATGTAATGCAGTGAATTGCTGCAATGAAACATTATTTCTAAGTTTATTTGTTCTAGATTTCGAATAAGCTGATTGCGTAATTCAAAATATATATCGAAAGAAAAAGGAACTATTCACTTGAATATCCTTGAACATAAAATCTAATGAGTTAAAAGTACTTACGAAAAAATTAAGAAACAGATAGTACATGTCTTTCAAGATGTTTAAGGGAAACTTTAAATCTACTAATTTTATAATCGTTTATGTAATACTTTAGATACTATTATAACAAATTAACTTATTTTTATTCTAATCATATTAAGCTGTTACATTGATTACCACTGTGTTTACGTTGTGTCATCTGTTAACTCTTAATTTAACAGCTTTGATATCTACAAATAATATAAACTAAAAATAAACATGTATTTTGGCTAGTTGTATTCTAAGATATATCTTGGTAGTATTTTATCTTATAGGTTGAATGGTTTGTTATTGTGGCTCTTCCGTTTAATAAGTGAATATTTCAATAGTTGAAATCATGAGTCAATTGAAGCTAGATCACCATAGAAAATCTGGAAGCACTGGACGGCCGTTTCGTCCTATTATGGGACCCCTCAGCAGTGCGCATCCACGATCCCGCTTCCCGCGACATTCGGACCCAGGACCTATCAGTCTCGCGCGTGAGTGCTTAACCATTAGACCACTGAGCTGGTCAGCACCCAACGGTGTTAATGTCTAACTTCAACCAATCCACGAAGTTGCACCACCGCACACCATTGTCTTCAGTGAGTTGAGTGGTGTGGCAACTCGAACTGATGTACGTACGTAGGAAGTTCTACGTTGTTACTCACTGACTGACTGACTGAGTTGATATCTCACAACAGACCTGGTTGAACTCCATTGGTAACGGCTTCTCACTAGAATTCCAGAAAATACCTCTTGTAGTCAGTCAACATACTAGGACGAAACGGCCGCCCAGTGCTTCCAGGTATTCCATGGTGGTCTATCTTCAAATGACTGATGATTTCAACTATTGAAATTTCTAGAAATCTCCACAAAACCCCTTCTGATAAGTGAATATTTGTTATTCTTTGATGAGCTTCTAATAACTCATTTTTAAAGTTAATTTTATGCATGTTGTCTAAAAAAATGATGGAAGCTTCATGAATCAATCATATAACCCCAAAAACTTAACAACACTGAAGTCATCCGTTTTATTTTATTAATTTTTCATCATTACACATTTAAAGATCTATTTTTAATAAATTTCTTAAATGACTGTTTTCAATCAACGAAGCTTTAACCTTTTAAGGAAGTGATTTTTTTTCTAAAACCATAATATATTAAAATTTTTAGTACTGTGAATGAAACTTATTGAAATGTACTGTAGATCAGTGATAAGATGAGAGAATATGTAGGTAAAAGATCATCTATGTTGTCGATAACATCACATGGAATAAAGAAATGAATTCGATATTACGTTTGATGTATTCTGTGTATAAGTGAAAGTGAAATAATCCCTCATACAATTACATTGTGCTATTCCGTGTGTGAGATTTTAGTCTTCAGTTATTGTGAATATTTAAATAGTATCTTACTTAGCGGCTAATTAGTATGCGAAATTTCTTAGTTCTTGAACTTTGAATGAAAATTGAGTATTTACACTAGTGACTAATACATTTACTTCCTAATGCATATATGTAATTTTAACATTCTTGTTTATTTTATGAGTTGAATCCACTTAATTTTCTATTTTTTAAGAATTAATTTATCATTGCAATAGTCGATTTCTACTTTAGTGTGCATGTTATGAAAATTTTAACCTCGGTCCAGTACACTGTACATTTGTAAAGATAACAGAAGAAAAGAAATAAAAAAGGAACATGTAATATCCATAATCATAAAGCATCTTCCCTTTCAAAAATGGCTTTATAAGTTTAAAAAACAAAAAGTAAATATATTTGGTTTAGATGATAAATTTCAGCGGGCATTAGTTTTATTTGTTATCCTATTAATATCAATAGTGTTGAGATCATGAGTCCATCGAAGCTAGACCACTATGGAAAATCTGGAAGCACTGGACGGCCATTTCGTCCTCGTATGGAACTCCTTAGCAGTGCGCATCCACGATCTCACCCCGTGAAATTCGAACCCACGACCTATCAGTCTCGTGCGCGAGCGCCTAACCACTAGATCACTGAGCTGGTCGGCATCCAATGGTGTTAATGTCAAACTTCGACTAATCCACGAAATTGAGCGACACATCCACCATTGTCATCAATGAGTTACTATCTCACAACAGATCCAGTTGAACTCCACTGGTCACTAATTCTCACTAGAACTCCAGGATATACACCTTGAAGCTAGTTACTAATGAGCATATGTTGAATAATATCAAAAAGGATTTTGTGGATATTATAGTAATTTCAATAGTTGAGAAACTGATAGGTCGTGTGTTCAAATCCTGTTAGGTGGGGTCATGGATGCGCACTGCTAAAAAGTCCCACAATAGAACGAAACGGTCGTCCAATGCTTCCAGATTTTCTATGGTGGTCTAGCTTCAATTGACTCATGATCTCAACTATTGGAATAACTACAATCTCCACAAAACCCCTTCTGATATTCTATTAATAATTTATCACTCTCCTTGAATTCATCATCATTTCTATCTAAAACATATAAATATAAACAAATGGAAATATTTACTGATTATTTGATATTCTATTATTTTTTATAACATGTGTTTTCTATCTTATTATTGTTTTCATTCATATTGAATCAATTCCATCTTATTAATCCTTTAGAAAATTTTCATCATTATTCATATTCATATTACTATCTATTCTCTAACTAGAATGATTATTTATTAACATTGTAATTATTATATAAGATTACAATTTGTTTACTGTGTTTATGTCAGTTATACATTTTATGAAGTTAGTGTTAAACTGGAATTACTGATTAAATTGACATACCAATTACTTGTTATATTTATTTACTGTCTATAATAATATTGAATTAATCTTAGATATTTTATTATTCTAGTAATTATAACTTTCGATATGTTTGAAATAACACATATGGAACTAAGACCATAAGTAAATATTTACTTGTTTAGATTTTATTTCCTCGTTATACATATATATGTATACAGCATTAAACAATACGATTATGTTATGAACTAACAAAGAGAGGAGGTAAATCATATAATGAGACAAAAAATAAACATTACTAAAGGAAACCATTCAAACAAGGATATTTGTGAAGTAGATTCTTTTCTTTTTCTAACTATGTATTATTGTTTCTTGAAAGAGGAGAACTACAGTAGGATTACTAATGATTTCTGATTTTAAGCATATTTAATAATTTGTTATATTAGTGCGTTGAATCATATGTACAATTTCGTTGAGGTAGTTGTGATTTATTAGAAGATAATAACTTAGAATAACTATCTGTATTAATCATATTATTCACTTTTGTAATTGTTATGTGTTTTGTGAGGGCTTCAGTAGTGATCAGTAGTTCATATATTAGAGTCTTCCAGTACGATTTTCGATATGGATGGGCAACATAAACTAACAAGAACCACAATATTATACATTTAAAAGTCATATAAGCATAAGGATTAACTTGAATGTTTATTATAAATTAATTTTTATACTGTTCTATCTATTTTTTGTTGTTGTTCATATTAATTTAACGTGAATCCAAGGATAAATTTTAAATATTCTATTTCATTCTTGTCAGGGTTTCGGTTTTGCTACTTCATATAAGTAGATGCTGGTCAATACATATTCATTACTATAGTCGTATACTCTGTTTTATTACGAAGTAACCTTACCTCAATAATCAATTATAAATAATGAGAACTAAGAACTCGTCCTATTTTGTTTATCAATGTCTTGACAATAAAAAATATACGAGTATACAAAAACTAGAAGCTAGGATCTTCAAGTATTTCAACGAGCATAATATCTTTAAATCACTTAGAATTTACTAATCCTTATTTTTTAACTACAATCAGTCTGTAGTATGATATCATTATTTCTCATTATTATCGACAGATTACTTGTATTCTAACTTGAAAGAAAACTCATATCTACACTTCAAATTTCAAATAAAGACAAAACAACTAGTTCTCAATATTTTCACTTGTTCCTTAGTGATCATCCATCTCTGTTTTATATAATGTCTAGATCAAATGTATAATGGGTTGTGATCAATTTTTAATGGTTTAGTTTCATTCATTTATCATATCTGAACCGACTTCGGTGTTTATTTTATAATATCTTATTTAAAGAGAAGTCCCAAGGAAAAGCTCTTAAAATTGAAGATCTTTCCATCATTGATTTGAAGTGTTAATGATGTAGTGAACGATAACTGAGGTGAAGAAAGCCAATTTATTCTTTAGTGCATAATTACACTATGCATTCATAAAATCTAAAAATCATACATTAAATATAATTGCATATCTTCCTCCAGTTTTATCCCTTACATATTTCATGATTCTTCCAATTCTTTTGTAATTCAATTGTTTTCTGTTCCCCATCTTATTCTTTTCAATTCAATCTTATATTGACAGTCATTCTATTAACGGTTGTTGCTACATACTACTTATATCTGTCAGTATAATTGGCAAACATTTCAATTGTAGCTTTATCTCACCAAACTGCACTGAACTGATTTTAATGTCTTTAAAAAAAAGACTTGATTATAAATGTAATGAATTAGTTTCACTATCATTGTAACAATTTACATTTGCCTAAAACTAACAAATTAGTCAAGTTTTTTTAGTATGATTTATTAGTTCCGTATATAAACTAATAATCTTGAAAAACATTAAACATAGAGTATTAAAACTTATATTATTTTGAAACCAGTCGTTGAAATGACAAAACAAAACTCATCTTTTGTTTCATAATCGTTGAATGAATAATAGCTTAATATTGGCTCCATTAACTATGACAGACAATCAATGGAATCACATTTTAATCTTATACATTGATCATTGTATAATATATGGTAAATTAATTTGATCTATATTAAACTATATTTGAAATAATTTAGTTGGTTATTGCAAGATAAATTAATTTCAGCTTGAATTATTTGATTTCTATGAGATCTGTTTAAACCTTCTTAATTCTGAAACTTTACTCTTTAACATGGATCAATTATAATTACTCTGGTAATTGATTGTTAGTCCACTTTCTATGTTTTACAATTAGTTAATGAATAGTGGAAAATGTATATGTATTCTAAACAAAATTTATCAAAGCATAATTATTTATAATAAAGTTACTTACTGGCTATTATACAATGGAAATAAAGTAATCTTTATATGCATGAATTATTTATTAATACAGTATTAAATAGACTTTGATACCATTTAAGCCATACACAAATACATGTATACAGCTTCTATTCACCTTATGGATCTATCATATTGTAGTTTCTAACAAAAATATGATTGTAACAATTATGTCTTAAACTGATGATGTTATTATAACTGAATTATAGTCGAGATAAAGAAACGTACGGATAAACACTAAGAAATAGTTGTTGTTCTTTGAAAAAATGCACGTGAATCAAATTCCACTTTTAAAAATATAACATTATCAATCTACTATGACAGATTTGAAATGAGAGAACTAGTGCAAGTTGACAGTAATCCATGATAAGTATTTTGGAAAAATTGCTTGCTTTATGACAGGACCAATACGTGAGTAATGTTGAGGTTATGTTTAGGTAGTGAATCGGTTGATGAGACTGTGAATCTTCAGTAGAACATACCAACAGCCGTATAGTTGGACGCATAATGATGGCTAGAGTAGGTTGGAAAAGAAATAAAGGCGGTCAAACGACAGTAAAATATTAGTATGTGAAAGAGATAAAACAATATTTATAACTGGTTTACTTATCCTGAGTTTTCGCAATTTTTTCTTCAGGCCCATCAACAATTCTATTGTCAAGGTCGAAAAGAAGTTATGAAACAGTTACACACATCCACTACAAATTCAGTTACACCACATATACCTACCTCCTCTGGTAATCATACTGTTTTAAACTGCACTACAACTACCGGTTCACCAGCTAGTAAACGTCGCTGTACTACAACTGACAGTCTTTCATCTACTGGTCACAGCCTAAATCATACTGGAAATTCTTCAACCAATCAGACAAATTCGTCTACATCTAGTAGTGGTGATGAAGCCGAAAGCGTTAAAAGTAATAGGTTATCACCATCAGGTTCGAAATTGTCACCAAATCGTAATTTACAAAACAGTCAAGAAGTTAATACAGATTGTGAAACAGATCAATCAAATTCAACTCATTGGGAACCTTGTGGAGCATCTGAACTACGTTGTTCTGCATGTGGTTACGTTGGTCAAACCCCACGTGGCATGAAAATGCACAGAAAACTTCATGAATGCAACGGTACCACCTCAAAGTAAGTTTTCTTATAGATTAATTTATAGCTAGACAGTTACACTGAAATAAAACAGCTTCTGTACCCTGAATGTAATTATGGTCATTATGAGAAATTAAGTTTTGGTGCATTAGATTTACGTCGACATCATATGGGCTTAAATGCGTGCTAGCGTCAATGAAATCTGCCAAAGGCATCAAATTCTCCCGGATAATCTAGGTTTTTAAATAACTAATCTTTAATCCTGCTTGTGAATAGCAGTAAACTCACAGTCATAAATAACAACAAGAAGGATACTAAGATCGCAATATATTTCGTAACATAAAATCCATATCTTTAATTACGAACAGCCATAGTTATGTTAAATAACATATGCAATAAATCCTTAAGTAGGTCCCAAAAATCAAGAATTATCGAATATTTCACTCTTGTGATTCATAAAGTTCCATACCGTTAATAGCTAATTGTTGGAGTTTAATATTTGCGTAACTGCTGAGTCACTAGCAGCCCCTACTAATGATCTAAATACCTTATGTATAGGTTATAGTACCATTTCAAATGGGAAATGAATAGTACGAGTTAGATTTCAAAAAGGATTAAGATGTGTTCAATGATGGTCATTATTTTTTACTTATTTGAACACATAAATATTGGTACAAAGGGGCACCAGATACATATGCGCCACACAAATCAAATGAGATTTGTGTGGGTTGTGATACCACCCGGGTGCCAAAACCGAACTAAATGGTTTTCTTATGGGATCACACACGGAGCCTTCGACCTAAAGGTCTAATTCACAAGGCAGTAGAGCAACATCAGAAGATGCAGTTCTATGATAGCCGATGATCAATAATTGGTTTATAAGCCATTTGTTTCCTCTGGAGCTCATGTACACCATTGGTTTGGAATCAGGGTTTTCCAAGTTCCTTAGATGGAATCTCCGTGTCATCCAACCCGGTTGAAGCGTCGAACATTCGCTTCTCATCCTCTCAACTTCGTAAACAACATTAATGCCGCGAGAAGGCAGTGAGTAAGACTTCCCTGTCAGTAGTTGTATACGCGTGGTTATGTGTAAGCATTTCGAGAGAGAGAGAGGACTCTCCTCACTCACGGCTGTACCAAGGCATTTGGGAGGTGATTATTCATTTATATTATACAGTGGTATTTATTGTAATGCCGACACTTAATAGTAGTCATTGTATTTTTTTTTCAAACAAAACTAACTATTTACAAGTTTATACTGTATCATTAGCAAGTGTTTATATAATAATACACTTTTTTTTCTAATTGTAGGAATCCTAAATCTACTTGTGAAATAAAGATCAATGAAATAAAGACAGAAAATGATATTCTCACTAAAAATTTCGATATAAATCTACATGTTACTAATGATCATAATTCACCTATGATAAATAATATAAAAAAATTACACAAAGCAACTAATGACAATAATCATAATAGTAATGCATTTTTGGATGATTTTGTTAAAAAAGAACAATTATGATTAAAATCACCATGATATGAATAGTAGTTGTATTCTCATCATTAGAATATTATAATATGATAATGAGAAAGAACAAATACAATGTATTACATTCTGATGACAAATTACACTGTATTTGTTACTGTTCCAATGGAATGGTATATAATAAACAATAATTCATTCATGTATTATTGATTTTACTTTATTACTTATCTTTTGTTTTCCTTTTTTTTGAAATTTTTTTACTTGTTGACTTTCTATCTTCCTGATGAGCATAATTCATCACCACTACTAGTATTTCAACTGTATTTTATTCTTTCGATTGTATATGACGAATGTTGGAAGTGATTTCAACTTCCTTTAGAATATAACAATTTTTTTAAATTAGAAAAATGATATATTTACTATTAAAATTAAATTTGTCTACTTTTAAGTTAACTACTTGCAAGTAGACTCATTTTTATTTCAGATATTTTATTTGAACTTGAAATTGATGTCAACATGGTTCAAAGAGCTGTTCACTCATTAATATGAGATTTTAATAGAAAACCTAGTTACTTTGATGAAGCGAAGGGTTTATTACCTCTATGAGTCAGTTATTAAGATCTATTCTATTGATCCGTACCAACAAACAGTTAATCTTAGAATTATATGAGAAAATATTGAAACATTATCTCTATACGAAATAATGTGATTGTCTGATTCTATTTTTTGCATGATATATGCAGAAAATGAAGTTAGAACAAATACAAATCAATAGAAGATGGAATGGTAACCACCAAATAAATTGGACTTAGTGGTGTAAAGTGACAGCCATGATATATGAAGGTTTTTAATTTCGATACATGGCTTGGTCATAGGTCTTTAGTATCGAGACTCCATACTGATGAAGTAAAAGCTACTCAGTACTTGTTGGTGATCAAACGTTGTGTAGCTAAATGTCTGTTATATAACTACAGATATTCTCATGTTTAATGAAGTAAATTTATGTAAACGAGGTTTAAGACTAAAATTTAAGATTATATTTAAGCTCAGGTTAAGTGTTAATCGACAAGTACCTAAAGGTTCATAAATACGAGTAGCAAAGACGGTCAACACCAGTTCAACGAGACATATATTTTCGTCTGATAGATATAAGTACTAGTGGATAATGCATTAAATTGTAAATTTTGGTAGAGTATTGGAGTGGACAGAACCCAAAACTTCAAATAATCCTGGTTAGTGTCTTGATTGATGAGGTAAATATGAGATGAAATATTTTCACGTTTCCGAAGTGTACCATAACTGGGTTTACTACAAACTCTTCAATATGATTATAAAAAGCTATGATCTTAATAACAATTGGATCTTCAAGTTATGTTTGAGACGATGATAAAGCAATATTGTAGTAATTTCAATTTTTGAGATGAGTTAGTTGAAGCTAGACCATCATGGAAAACCTGAACCGCCGTGCAGTTCTTCCAGGCGCTTGAAATGAAAGATAATTGGAAACTTTATATAGAAAGGTAATCTACATTTTTACTACTTCAAATATGTGAAAATATTTTTGATAAACTCAGTTACTTGCATAAAGATAATGAGTGAAATAGGGAGTTAGAACACTGAATGTGAATTTAAAGTAACTATATTCGGTAAATACCAACAATATAACACACCAAGCTTCCAGAGATAATAAAGACAGTTCTAAAAAGATTAGTCCATTTACGTTGAATGAAAACTTTAAAGTACGTAATCACCAGGAGACAAAGTTATTATGCAAAATTCTAAATAGTGCAAGTAAATATGTCTGGAAATGCATCAATATACTGTAATTTAGTGGAATGATTACAGTATGCGAATGAACGATAATGAGCTCTGAGTAAATCTTATGACTCCCAAGAATTTCGATAGAACAATTAGAAGATGAAGCTGATCTGAAAAATGTGATGTATTTGAGTCATACATTTCGAATAATCTGGTCACACATACTTGTCAGGGCATTTTTATATGAAAATTAAAAAATGGTCAATTAAATGAAAGTTCAAGTAAAAAAGGTAACAAATGCGAAACATTTTACATCTTATGGAAAGAAATTGTCGCATTATCCTAGGCCATAAAATGACTTAGTGATTACCAAGGTAAATTCAAGGTTACGACAAATTGTTTTTGTACACATAAAGGGGGTTTAAATTTACGAATAGCTAAGGCTTCAATAAACCTAAGAATTCGTCCTTGATAATTTCGGCGAGACTAATTAAGGGACGAGCCAATCAGAAGCGTTTGAGCGACTTCAAGGTCATGGAGCCAAGTTCAACACGCGATCGGTTCACAGCGGACGTTAGAGAGGTCACAACAGATGGGATGGCGAGACTCTAATTTAGGGACGAGCCAGTCAGAAGCGTTTGAGCAATTTCAATCATTAGCCAATCAGAAGACAGTATAAAGTAAAAATATATTATAAGAAAGTAATGTATTACAGTGGATATTCTTCTTTTACATGATTTAAAAACTTGTTAAGGTTTGATAAAGGTTCGGAAGTTCTGAATTCATAATGCATATGGTGTAGAAACTCGTCCATAGGGTTATGGTTGTAGCCTCTCGATAAACACCTCTTCCCTAAAATCCGTTGTAAACCGATCGTTTGTTAGCACCCTAACCCTAAATTCTAACACTATGGACGAGTTTCTATACCATATGCATTATGAATTCAGAACCTCTGAACCTTTATCAAACCTTGACAAGTTTTTAAATCATGTAAAAGAAGAATATCCACTGTAATTCATTATACTGTCTTCTGATTGGCTAATAATTGTCAAGGTCATTTGAGATTCGTTCAAAGGTCGTCCCTAAATTAGAGTTTCACCGACAAACATTTTTCAGATTAATTCTGTCTTCTAATTGCTCTATCGAAACTGATAAAAGGGACTAATTGCTTTACGTTTCCCAAGAATGCCTCACTGAAAACCATTTCTCGAGTTTATGAGTCGAAACTGGGACGAAATTGACAGCATTTCTCAGATATTAATTAATCCATACCAAAAATATGAGAACAGTATATTGTTAACAATTCACCTGTTAGTGAGTGGTCGAAAGCTAAATATAAATCTTGAGATAATGGTTATTTCATGAAGTGTTGAGATATAAGAACCATAAAGTCACTTATTCGAAAGACTAAATACCGACTTCTGGAATGCAGGACCTTTTATTAAATCCTTTTAACTGAGATGGTGTTTCACTGCCAATAATTTACATGACAATCAACATAATGACTCAACCTCTGTCGACTAACGCACACAACAAGCTTTACTCTACGTAGTAGCGTCAGAACAATCGGTTTGTATCTTCGACTCTTACAAAGTCAGTGTAACATTAGTGATCAATTTGTTGAGAACGACCGGGAAATCTTATTTAACTACGGGAGATAAGATGATGATAAATAAATTACACAAAACGCAGAGTTTAGTATAAATATCCACTAGCCCAAATTAAGACATTTAATGATCACCTCAGGATGAAATAAACAACATAACGGAGTCGAAATATTAGTGTCTATGACTATGAAAAGTATTAAACAGAGATATGGTCCGTAACAATTTCCAGGAATTATGGAACTGGTTTTTCCAAAATCTTGTATACCAAATGGGACTGTATAAAGGTTTCTTCAATAACTATAACGTTTTACATAATTATGAGGATCCCATGAAAAAATGGCGGATATAATCTAATGTTGGACACCTAAGGTGAATATTATAACCAGCAATCGCGTAATATTTCCAATCTAACTTCCTAACATGGACAATATATTGTATTCTATATGAGCTATAATATATTAGTGACAGGGGAGGTTGATTATGAATACAGTGGTCTTGAGTGCTGTTAGAGGTATTAGGGCGGTTATCACTTCCCGGTTGCCCACACCATGGAAGGGTTCTTCTGGAGGTGCCTGAAAAGGAAATCGGATTAGAGGTGGTCTTAGTGACCTGGGAGCGTGACCGCAGTGCCCAAGGGACAACTGCTTGAGGTCGGTCACACACGACCGTCTTGCCAGTAATTTTTGTGTTAGCTCCGTACTTTTTGGGACCTTACAGCCGGAGACGGATATCCGTGGGATAAAGCAAGGTGTGCATTTTTAGGGTCGACCTTTTCTAACCCCACCCCTCCTTGTGGGAAGGCAGCATCGCTGTCATGCTGGTTGTCTGAAGGAAACACCTTACTGCTTTCACACCTCTGTACAGTCAGCAGTACGACTTCGCCTTCGGACCTTAGGTTTGTTGCTTTTAGTCTTACTGCTCTTCAACCGACCTGTCTGACATGGTAGGACCTTGAGGAACGGTTGTTCCAGCCAGTATAGCTCGGTTGCTTCATCACGATAGGCAAGCCCGACCACCACGTCAAGGTAGCAACAACGGTCGGGATATTAGTGACATAACTCAGTAAACATGTATGGTCTTATGCACTAATTATCAGACTGCACTTGTTATATGAAGACTGTATGTTTTTCGGATACATAGATCAAAATAGAATATCGGTGGTTCAAAACTGGAACTTAGTGGTAGAAAGCCGGAGCTCAATAAACGTTTCTTTAACGAACAATAGTCAGTTTTTAATTACAACTAGCAGTGATAAAAACAAAACACTATACTCAACTTATTTACCAAGTACACGACTATGTACTCGGGTTTGAGCCAAAGTGTCTCTGTGTATGAGGACAACGTCCTAAGGCCGGTCAAACACGGCTCTTCTGTGAATAGTTCTTGATGTGTTAGCTCTGTACTTTGGAGATTTTACCGAGGAGAGAATCAATATTTCTTTATGATCCCTTTTCGTTGTGGAAAGGTAGTATCGCTCTGAATGCTGGTTGTCTGAGGAAAACACCTTACTGTCACCAGATCTCTGTAAAGCCAGCAGTACGACATCATCCTCGGCCGTTAAGTGCTGTTTTTAGTACTACCACTTTCCCACAGACCTGGCTTACATGCTGAGACAAGTGTTCCAGCCAATATAGCTCAACTGGGTCATCATGATGGGCGATCCAGAACATCACATCAAACTAGTAGTCACAATAAGGAGGTTCTTTATAATTACTGTTTATTACAGCTAACCGATATTTTGTTTAAACATAAAGTTACTCCTGAGTTTGTACATTTAACAAGTTTTCTAGATTGATGAAAACCGACCAAATTAATCCATTAATAAGGATTATAAAACGCTTCAGTATTTATTAAAATTAAAAAACAAGAGAAGAAATAATACTGAACATCAGATACAATTTATAAAGGTGGCCAATCATTTTCATTATTAGCTGTAATTATACCAGTTGTCGGTGGTGTCGATGAATCCCAACAGTTAGCATATTCATAATTAGTAAGTGCAGATTGTGTTTGTAACAATGGTGAATAATAAATTGTTTGATTTTGCTGAGCTTGAGATTGACGAAATTGTTGACAAGGTGTCCATAAATTAATTGATTGATTATTATTATTACTATTATTAGTGGAGTTATTATTATTGCTATTATTATTATTATTATTATTATTATTATTATTATTATTATTATTATTATTGAACTGTTGTGATAGTTGAATGGATGATGGTGGATGCATTTGTGAAATTCCAGCAGTAGAATTTGATTGGTATTGTTGACCTTTAATCAATTGTTGTAAATCAACTAAAGTTAAAGGAACACTTTTAGGATTTAGTGACGGAACAACATTATCTTGTGGTATCGATGGGACAGAAGTTAATTCATCATGATTACAAATAGGAATTGAATTGAATCTATTAGCCATTGCAAAGTGACCGAAATTCTCACGTATTAATTCAGCGGCATGTTTTTGATCATTTAAACGTATAGCTAAATAGATACGTAGTAAAATAACTGTAGTCGGTAATAATTTACAATTATTGGTTATAGTTGCCTCTTCTGATAATTCATTAATATGCCATTTTCGACCATCTACTTCATTCGCTGATACAAATAAACCTGGTAATGATAGATCTAAGTATTGCTTTGACAAAGAATATTGTTTTTGAATAGCTAATGTGACTGCTAAATTGTAAGCCAATAATGATGAAGACTAAATTGAAAAATAAAAATAGAATTTTTCTTTAGAAAATTTATGTATAAAATAAAACAAATATATTAAAACAGAGAATATATTGTATGTATACTAAAATACGGCAGCAAAATCCGACCTTAGACTTCCTCGTGGCGCAGCTGGATAGTGGGGGCAACCCTGCTAGCTAACTTAGGCGGTCACAGAGATCGGGCCGATCACCCACTCTGTTGTATCTAGCCAATCCTGAATTCTATAATTGGACTCACTTTACCATTCGGGCTACTTGATGTGTATGCTTATGTGTGAGAATTGCAGAAGTTCTCGGATCTATGTAGTTCAAGCAT